CTGCACAAATCAATCCAGTTGCATATCGTTTATATCTATCGGAGTCAATGAAAATCCATCCAGTATTCCACATGTCTCTTCTTAAATTATACAAGACAGTGGACATACCAAGAAGACGACAAGCTCCACCTCCTCCTACAGAAGTGGACAATAATGAAGAGTTTGAAGTAGAAGAAGTCTTAGATTCAAGGCGACGCTGAAATAAATTAGAATATCTTGTCCATTGGCACGGATATGGTATTAGTGAACGCACATGGGAGCCAATAAAGAATCTTGCAAATACAGCAAAGGCGGTGGAGGCTTTTCATCGACGACATCCATCAAAATCAAGATGAAAACCTTCTTTATAAAAGAAACAACATCTAGATAAGATAACATTCTACTTTCAATTCTTGTTCGTAGCTTTGTTGTAGTAGTGGCGCTCAAGAGATGGAGAACCAACAACCAACGGATTCAATTCAAGAGCCTTCATTTGTTGACCTGCCGGTCGAGACATTACTCTTGTCACAACCTTCAAGACGATGCAATCGAGATGAAGATCTTCAAGAACGACATGTTCTTCCTTGAATAGATGGTGAGATACAACGCGTTTGGTATCACAATTTGGAAAGGGACTCCCGATGTTTGGTGATTTTGCTAGAGGTAGGAACAACTCCTGATGGTGTTCCAAATATCCTATTCGAAGGAAGTTACAAAGGCCTCAACAATGATCAAATAACTGGGTGGTCTTTCCGCCCTGGTATGGGACACTACCGATGGTTGAGAGGCCCTATCAATCATCTTCGAAGAGAACAGAGATCAGAGTATGTGGCGAATACAATTCGTCGCATCATAGATTTCCTCAACATATGATGACTGCTCCTCGTGGAACTCGTTCCTAGAAGGAGGGGTAATGTCACGGCTATAATCATGTAAGCTAATAATTACATATAGAAATAGGTAGAAGTAAGTAAAAGTAGATAAAAGTAAATTAATTCTATAATATTTAATATGGAAGCTTCTTAGAAGCTTTCTAGATGTTGCTTTGACTTCATAGGTGTCTTTAATTGACTTTTTGGATTAGAAACGTGGTCAACAAGTTGGCCATGTGCCACACATGTTGTTAGCTTGAAGATCAAGCTAACTATGTGGCCCACACGTAGAAAAACTTGCCTTATAAGTCAAGGCATGTGTCCTACAAAGTCAACACATATTGGAGGTCCTATAGAAAGTTGCCACGTAGCCTCTAGTTAGATAGTATATATAGAGACAAGAGTGAAGGCTTCTTCACTCTTATCAACTCCTTTCTTGCTTCTAGTCTAGTTTCAAGGGTCTCTAGTTTTCTTGTCTTTTGGCAATAGCCATTCCAGTTTCTCTTTCAATATATATACTTGTTTATATATATTTTGTTACCTCTCTTTGAGTGAAGGCTCACTTATCTGAATTATTTTTTCATCGAGTTCTTGTCCTTGACAATTTGGCAATATGAATGGTAATTGGTGGTAACTCTTGTTGTATATATTAGAATTTTATTTTTTCTATTATTTTTTATTTTCTCTCATTCTAAATATGGTTATAAATACTTCTAAAAATATATTCAAATGATATAGAAGTTGTGAATTATTTTTCATAAAATATATATATCAAGAGAGAATACTCTCAAATATAAGTATATCTATGAATTCACTCAAATAAATCTACTAAGATATTTAGAAGAATATAATTTCAAATAGACCTTGTTTTATTGTAAACATTGTCAAAATTTTGTTCTTATTCTATTAAAATTTTCAATTATATTAATCTTTGTTACCTTCACATTTGTAATAGCAAGACTTCTTGAATTTATTTATGGTGTTAATTTACTTGTCTCTTTCAACTACACAACTTCTTAGTGTAGATATTGGATCTCATTGTTGATTTCTTCCATATGTGTAGGAGCAGTACTTTTATGGTTGTCATTGCTAATATGTAAAAAAAACATTCGTAAGAAGATCAACAAGCTTATAAAGATTTGCAATAGTTGCAAATCTATTCTCGCTTCTACTAAGTATAGCATCCATAATTTGTTTTCCTTCAATCTCTATAATAGACAATTTTAATAAATCCACAAGTCAAAATAGATTAGAGAAATCAATAACTTCTGATATCAAATAATTTTTTCTGAAAAAATATCTATTTAAGATTATAATCTTCTATATGTATATTTATGGTTTAAAGTATCATTTATAAAATATTTTTAATAAAAATACAAAATTATCAAAAATTTGACTTTATAAACTTTAACTTTGTAAATTTCAAAACCTACATATTGTTCTTAAAGCACTTAAAGTTACATTCTTGTAACACAAAACCTTCTAAGATTGATGTTTTTATTATAACAAGAATTTTTTTTGGTCTATTTATTTTATATTTATTTCAAAATATAAATATTGATATATATATATATATATATATACGTATTATTATTAATAATTATAATCAATAAAAGGATATTTTATATGTATTCATATTTTATATGATTACAATATGATTACATTAAAATATGAATACATATACAATATGATTAATTTGTACTTGAGATATTTTTGTCAGCAATTAGGATGATATTTTTAAGTAAAGAGAAGGGCTAGACATGGGCTAGACTTAATTAGAAAGAAGGTGATATTTGTAAATTAGCATGGATACAGAAGTTGATAGAACCTCAAACTCAATGTTGTACAAAAGTAAATGGATGTGAAAGTTAACACACCACAAAAGTTAATAGACAGAGAAATCAAAAAAACTAGTGGATTATACAAATATGAGGATATTAAAGATTTAGAGGCTTAGAAAGTTATGGTAGAATTAGAACATACAGAGGAAAGAAGAGAAGGTTCAGACATCATTTTCCCAGTCTTTCTCTGAAGTATGTGAATAAAATTTTGGGTCTTGTGTAGAAGTTGATAGCATCACATATTAATACAAAATATAATGATTGGATGAATGAATTCATTTTTTCTTGTTAAACCTATTGAAATTGAGAATATATATATATATATTATTTATTTATTTATTTATTTATTTATTTATTTATTTTTAAAATTCCAACCACCACCTACTTTCTGAATTCTTTCCTTATATTTTTGCAACCTTTGAGTAGAAAAAATGTTCTATTGCCAACTTGTTAACTAAAGTTTTGATCAACAACTACTGCATATATTTTTATGCAAATGAACAGAATAATTTGCAAATGTTAAGATGTATTTACATGTTTGATCAGTGAAAAAATTATCATTTTCATCAACTCTATTTTGATATGATGTCGTATAAGTTTTTAAAATCTAATATCTTAGGATGTATGTTGAACATTTTTTTTATTCTTTACTACCTTAACTTATTAAAAAGGAAAAGAAGATAAGGGTTGTTACTGCACACATTGACAATTTAGTTATATTTTAAAACTTTTTTCTGTTTTTTCATTGTTATATATTGCTATATTTTTTGTTTCTTTAATATTTTAAATCTTTTTATCATGAAGATATATTTTATAATTTTAATTGGTATAAAATTTTAATAAATTAGTCAAGTATAAGTACTTCATTGTATCAAAACACTGTTAAAATTGATTAAAACATAATTAGTCACAGTGTGAAATAATATTATAATCATTATAAGGCAAATGTTCGTATAAAAATATTTAACTTGAGATTGTTTCAAATTGAGGTTTATGGTATGTTTATAAAGTTGGTATTTTCAAAAATAGGGCTACTAAACTAATTGCAATGTATATATATATATATATATACACATATCCCATTTTAAAACTATAATGTAATACATTGTATTATTTTTAATAATTGTGATGATAAATTTGAGAATAAAAATGATTCTTTAAGCCAAAATAAAAAAGTAAGACATGATTTTGAGAAATTCATATAATTTTATTTTTTTTACATACACATAATATTATTACATAAATATTTTTTTACATACACATAATTTTAGCATTTATGTACTTGGTTTTTATTTTTATTTTTCTTGGATATATATATATTACAAGTGTACATGTTTTCTTCTCAATAGATTTATATAGTTTTTTGCAATACCATGAATTCTACTTGTATAATTGTGACATTGAGATTCCTTATTAAATTGTGCATTTATATTTTACTTTGCAAGTAATCAATAGTTCATATTTTAGTTTTTCATTCTGTTCTATATATATATATATATATATATGAACCAGCCTATGTTTGGATGGAGCATAAAAAATTCTCATTGGCTGGAACAATAGGGTGGTAAAACCCACTTACTGCCAACTTGTCTAGTTATCGGGATAGAGTAGACCGGAATGAGTTAGGATGGGCCAGGCTGGCAGCCATACAAATGAACTTGACTTGCAATTGGCTAACATAGTGCCATTTTTTTGTTTTTTTTAATTGCAATAAGGGACATTGATTGGTATATTGTGTGTATGTGTTTTTTTGGTTGCCAAAAACAAACTTGATATTGGCAAAGCCAATGGTTTAACTACTAGGATATATATAGATATAGATACATACATATATAAATTAAGCAAGAAGCAAAGTACAAAAAAACTAAAATATACATTTACAGTGCTTCTCCATTAAATGACCTCATCCATTGTATGAAAAAATATTAAATATTATTAATCATATGGGATTTATTAGTTTTTTGGAGAATAATTATGAAGGGGAGCACTTTACTAGCATTGCCAGAAACCTTACTTTAACATGTTCAATTTCATTCAAAAGAGATGTTTTAAAAATCCAAAAAGATGTCAACCCGAAGTTACAAGAACTGTTTCAAAAACATAACTATTATCTGGTATTTTTATACCAAAACTGTATATAACTCAAGAATTCAACTGGATTCGCAGAAACTGGTAAACAGGGTGCTAGATGTAGAAGCAGCAGCAGCAAACAAACAAACAAACTAGGAACTGAGGGTTGAGGTTTCTTCCCGCAAGTCTTTTTACGGTGACATTTATGTGCATTGAACTGGAAGATGGGGATGGAGTTACTACATTGCGAGGCATGAAGCTCCGAAGCCTTCTGGAGGACTTATCTATACACATCCCCTCCATCCAGGACTCCGCTTTGTTTCTGGAGCTTTCGCATCCTACGCCGCGGAAGTTTCCACACAGACTCCGAGCCTTTGTCTAACATCATCCCGTGCCGTCAAGCTCCGGGGCGTGTCGACGTTTAGTTTTAGGGTTCAGAGCTCCGCCTCATCCGCGTTGAGTCTCCTCGTGTTTCTGTTTCCTACCCTGCGTCTGAGCTTTGGGGTGGAATCATGCGGGGGTAAGGAAAGGATGACGGCTATGGAGGTCGGAGCGCGAGGATGCGCGGCCGGGCGGGAAAATGGCGCAGTGGCGTGGGATCTCTGGTCGTGGTTTAAGGCGTGGCGGAGCTCTTGCGGCTGTTCCCGTCGCCGAGGTGCTAGAACCGGAGGGACGCTGCCGCATTCGAGGTCGTGAGCCCCTGGCAGAATTACCAGACTTCTCTCTAGGTAGGTGATGAGCGATGCATGTGAATGTTAGGGTGAGATGGGATGCGTGTGCTGCGAGGTTTGATTGTTGGTAGGGAGCTTCATTGGACTGTGTGGGAGACGATGCTGCAACGGGGGGCCGCGTCACGGAGAACGTACACGGAGAAGATGCTGAGCTTTCAACTTACATTTTCTTTTATTTTCTTTTTCTGGATTTTGATTACGTATTCTACAACTGCGGACGGAGCTTAGAAACCCTAGATCGATAGTACCTGTTTTGGATAAGATCATTCCGTGGCGTGCGAGTTTACCGTGCTGCGACTCCCCTTGGGCTTCTCTGGTGAGTTTTGTTTCCTGGTTTAATGTGTTGGCACACACCATAACGTTTCCTGACAAGCTGATCCACCTCAAGGACTGTGTCGGCATTACCTTCAGCCCGTTCGGACAGAGCTGTGGTCAATCTGCCAGGTCACATCAGCTTGGACCAGATGTCTTCCGCCCCTGGTTTGGGGTGGTTTTCCCTCTTTCTATCTCTGCTGCAAGGTTACCATTTCAACTGGAAGTGTCGTTGCTTGCTCAACGTCTGTTCTAAAGTGCTTGCGGAAACTCTCTAGTCATGCGAATTTCGAAATATGTAAAAGAATGAAAGCAAGATCAAACCGTTGCCTGTCTGTCAAGCTGGTGTCTCATAATTCTATTTGGGTACAACTCTTAAACAGCTGATGCAGCAGCAAGACATGATTCACTGTATACAGTGGTATTCGAATTCACCTAGCCGAGTTTTGCAGTGCAGTTCTGAAGTCTAATAGAGTGTTCAGGTGTAAGCAGCTTACACCAGTCCATTCCTTAAGCTTTATTTGAGGTCTGAATCCCTGCATATCTCCAGCAATGTTATCCTTCAGCCCTCAGGTCCTGTGCATGCGGGACTGCATGATGATACCCGCATCCAGCTACTCTTTTGGACTCTGTTCCGGCAACTCAAAAGAGTTGCGAGGTCTTATCAGTGACGACGACCAGAGTGTTCCATTGTATTGCGATTTTGGTTTTAGTGACTGGCAGAAGTGTGATTTTGTGCAGAGTTGACGCTGTAGAGACGAGTTGCAACAGCGACAAGTCCGAAGACGGGGTTGAAGCATGTCGTGGCGAGACGAGAAGGCGGAGTATCTGCAGAAGAGCAGGGACTTCTCCTTCTTGCAGGAAGATGGTCGGGATCCCAGAGAAGTTCAGAGAAGCAAGAAGGGCAGTGACGATCGGGTGCCCGACAACCAGGAGGCGCGGGACCGGTTGCTCCGACTGAAGGCTCTGGAGAAGCAGAGAGCTGACAAGCAAAAGAAGCAGTATGTTCGGAGTCCGTCCCCCGAATGGGAAGATCGGTACGAGCGGCGGGAGACGGAGAGGAACGCAGGGCCGAGCGGGAGCAAGCGACCGGCAGGGAAGGACAACTTCGGGTCGTTTTTTGGGAAGGTGGAGAAGGTGGTGGCGAAGCGGGTGGTGGAAGAGAAGCGAGCGCGGGAGATAGCTGCTCGCGAAGCCCGAATAGCCGAGGCGGAGAAGGCTGCGAAAGCTCGGGCAGAGAGCAGGATGAGGGCGGCGAACAGCGGGTCGGGAAGCAAGCCCGCAGCAAAACCGAAGCCTGTGAATCCGGCGGCAGCGAAGGCGCAGAAGCTGAAAGACAACCGGGACTACTCGTTTCTGTTTTCGGACGAGCCCCCGAGCAAACGCGGGGGAGGCGAGGGTAGGGATTCTGGAGCAGAGCCCAGCAAGGCGTCGAGAGACGGCAGGGGCTCCGCAGAGGGTTCGGCGAAGCAGAAGTCGATGAGTTCGATGGGTTCACAGGGTCAAAAGGCGAAGGTGGCAGGCAATGGTAGCGTGCGGCCTTCGTCGGGACAGGGATCCGCGAGCGGGCAGGCCCGCCATGCAGGTGCGATGGCGAGCAGGGCGGGGTCTGGCGCGGAGAGGGACAGCGGTGGTCGGGAACCTCGGTACGAGAGCGAGAGAAGGTCGGAGAAGGAAGTGCGACGCGCGAGCGAAGGGAGGGCGGAACGGGGGCCACGGTTGGATGGGGAAAGGAGGGCGGAGAGGGGGGTGGCACCGTCTCGAGCGGGATTGGCGAGCAAGAGTGGGGTGGACGAGAGAGCATCGTCTCGAGGAGCGGCGTCGAAGATGGGGATGGCGTCGGATAGGGCAAAGAGAGACGGGCAGGAGAGGGCGAAGTCAGCGGGCTCGAAAGCTATGAACCACGACAGAAGTGTGGTTCGGGAGTCAGTGTCGGCGAAGCAGTCGTCAGCGAGTCGGGTGGCTCAAAGTGGAGGTCAGAGGATGATGTCGCAGTCCGGGAATGGGAGCGTCCGAGAGAGGATGGTGGCGAAGTCGACAGCAGAGGTGAGGGTGTCGCAGTCGGTCCGGAGAGACAGCGAGAGGGATGGATCTGCGATGAAGCGAAAGAGTGTCGGGGAGCCGGCGAGGAAGGCGGCGGTGAGTGCGAAGGCGAACGACGGGAGGAGAGTGGAGAGGCCGAGGTACGGGAGCTCGGACTCGGAGAGCGAGATGAGAAGAGTGGTGGCAGGAGGACCTCGACCTGGAGCATCAGGTGGGAGCAGAATGGCTCCGGCGAGCGCGAACGGGTTGAAACGGAAAGCAGTCGACGAGCTGGATAGGAGGAAGACGATGGGTGTTCCGACGAGGAGGCCAGCGGCGGACGAGGCGATGAGAAGGAAGTCGGTGGGAAGCGAGGGTACGCAGAGGAAGGCGAGCGTGGAGGTGAGGAGACCAGCAGCAAGGGAGGAGGTGGCGAGGAGCAGGCCAGCAGCCGGGAAGGAGAAGAAGAGGGTGCAGGAGCTGGACTCTGAGTACGAGTCGGACAGCGAGGACGGAGGAGGCGCTCGAGCATCAGGGGTGTCGAGCATCATACAGAAGCTGTTTCGGTACAATCCGAACAAGTACAAGGATTTGGACGACGAAGACGACAAGAACATGGAGACGAGTTTCCGACACATACAGGCGGAGGAGAAGCGGAGCGCGCGGCTGGCACGGGAGGAGGACGAGAGGGAGCAGGAGTTGATAGAGGAGGAGGAGCGGCAGGAGCGGCTGCGAAGGATGAAGAGACAGAAGGCTCGATGAAGTGGGGGAGTGGGATAGGTTGCGTGGAGAGTCGGAACGCAGAGTGGGACCTGGAAGGAGGTGGGATAATGAGAGACGCGGTGGCGTGGTGGACATGATGCGGGTGGATTTGGGTTGGTGATGAGGTATCGCATTTGATGGACACTCGAGGGCGGGAAGCGACAGGTTCGGTTTGCCACTATCAAAGCATGTTGCGCGTTGGCGTTGGGGAGGTGGAGGCTCTGAGGAGCCGGAGTGTGCTTGTGTACAGGGACGGATCGACGAGCACAGTAGGATGCCGTGGTGGGTGGAGATGTGGATGACCGGAGTTAGGGGAGGGTTCGGAGTTCAGAAGCGAAGGGTCGTTCGCCGATGTAGGTAGACGAGAGGATAGTGTGTGGTCTGGAGGAATGGGTGTGGGGATTCCTGGAGGCGATTTTGTACTTGTATGAGGTAATTTATGTCCCGAGGGGGACGCGGAGGGTTCGAGAAAGTGGAGTAGCGCGAGGTGGGTAGTAATTGAGGTATGCTGTGCAGGGAATACATGGGGTGGGGGTGATGTTTAGCTTTTTTTCGTTCGAAACTGTGGGACCGTTGGAACGCGAATTTTTTTAGGCAAGTTATGCGTGGAAATAGCACAGATTTTTAGTTAATCTTAGCATCATTTTTCTGCACACATAGAACATTGTATGGATTTGTTTTTTTTGTTATGGATTCGTGCTTTGTTCTTTTTCTTCTGTGTATGTTTATCTTATGTATCAATTCTGGCCTTGTCGGTTTTTAGCATCGATGTTGTGAATTGTTTGTTATGCATGTTTTGTCGGTTATATTTGTTAGTACATTATCCCCTGGAATTATGTTTCCATCGCCGTTGGTATGGTATGTTACATAGTCTTGATATCTTGTTTCAAGTGGATGTAATTGCATTTTTGAATTTCAGGTAATGGAGGTGTCATCTGCTACAGATTATTTATGTGGGTCTATAATTACTCATGTGGATTTTAGGTGTGTGGCATGTAAGTAGGCCCTCATGATCCAGATTTTTGGTTTTGAAGATCTCAGCACATGGTATATCACAACTATTTTTTTGTGTTAAAGGAGCTTGTGGAAATTACACACTTGCAGAAAATATGTCTGTGACGTCGTTAATTTTTGATTCCCATGCTGTTAAGGAATAATACTCAGCAGGAACTTGTGGATGTAGCCAGCCCTTGATGCTTCTAGTAATTAGTTATTCTGTCCCTTTATAACATAGAAATCAAACTTTGGATAGTTGGGATTTTTTGTTTTTCGAAATTCTTTTGCAGTGAAATTTCAATTTTTAGGAAACTGTGCCTCGTATTTTAAAACCTGGGTATTTGAAGGGTGTGCAACTCTTGAGGGTTTATTACTTACATGTGTTGTAGCAACAAATTTTTAAGCTCGATTATGGATTAAACATATTTTTTTCACAGTTATTTTTATTTTAATATAACTTATCAGTGATGAATGAGCTGAAAAAATACTTTTTTCTTTGGTGTTGCACCTGTGGTTGCAATGTTTAAGGAGATATAAACCCTTTCAATATACCCTTTTAATATGATGAATCAAAACCGTAATGATATTTTCATATATATGATGTGGCAAAAGTCTTTATCCTAATCTAAAATTATTGATTGTAAAATTGTGATAACACTAACAAAAAAATTTATTTTCATCATATGAAATTTAGATTATCACTTGGGAATCGGAGGATAAAAAAAAGTGTACTTTTAAATATATGATATTGAAATTATTGCATGTGATTTAAACAAAACATAGGCACAAAAAGAAGTGGTGTTAATGCCACTATAGTTGTTGCTCCTGCTACTAAAACTTATTTTTGATAACTTTATATATTTTTTTTCCTATTAAATTACTTTCTGTATAATTTGAAGAAAAAAACATATTGGAAATTTGAACAAATATTTGATTATTTTTTTTAAAAAAAAGAAGCAATATATCAAGTGAGTGGTGGATTGTGGTGATAGTAGCAAAATTGTGGTAGTATGTGGTAGATGGGGGTTGTGGCACCAACATAAATTGTGATGGTATTAGCAATATCCCATAAAGATGGTTAAGGGCAATATTATATTGATTGCACATTGCATTGAAAAAAGTAGAGTTAACCTTGTATGAATAAAGGTAAGTAACCAATTATATTTTACTTACATCAAACCAAATTATTAATTATTCTTGTGATTATATTCATATGATGACTAAGAACTAAAGTATCGATATATAAATAAACAAACATCTTATATTTCTAATAAATCAACTTTAAGATATATATACATAATATCATTATATACTAGTAGAAACTTGTACCATTGGACACAAAAAGAGTATGAAAATTGTAATTTGTAATTTACTAAGTTGCATGTTAATAATATACATGTGTAATATATTTTAGTAATGGTTTTCTACACCAAATTTATTGAAGTTTAACTAAAGTAAACTACCATTAAAAATAAAATATATCTTTATTTATTAGAAACAAAAGGGATATTTTTAAATTACATCATTAAATAAATAAAATATAAAACATGAAGTATTACAATCATATTAAAATTAAATTTAGCCATAGGCCAATTATATATATCATGGAAGTCCCTTCTTGTTGCTTTGGATGAATCATATTTAGAACAAGATTAATGAACAAAAGCATTGCCATGGTGCTAGTATAAACTTGTGCTATTGGACACATGAAGACTCTAAATTTTTTTAATTTGTAGCTCCTTAATAAAAAATAGACAACTTTTAAAGATACGCCAAATAAAAAATAAAATAAAATAAAATAAAGAATATGCATAAGTATAGAATCATTTATTTTTCTTCAATGTTATTGACAAAGACAATTTTTATTTGTTATAACAACTAAATTAGCTAAGATGATAAAATTTCAAGATAAATTATATTTATGGTTGTATTCTTATTTTTATTTTCTTATAGATAAAAAATCTTGATAGTATTTGGAGAAGCTCATTATAAAATAACATATAAATATCTATGTAAAAACATAAGGATTTTAAGATCTATTCCTACATTCTTCAATGATTTTCTTTAAAAATTGTTAATTATTATTACCAATGCCACCTTTATATGAGATTGCTATTACTTAAATTTGAATAGAATTTGTCCAAATGATAGACATGATCAAATCTTTAGAAGAAAAGCCAATTATTTCTTCCTATTCCCAATTAAGAATCTTGCTTTTATAACTCAATAATGCAATTGCATAATGACCAAGCATGATCCATTATAAAATCATTGATGTTTATCAATATTTTGCAACAACATAATGAAACATTTAATCTTCAATTTGAAGTACAATATTGATTATCTAAGTCGACATTAATTATTTAAATACTTGATTGGATAATATTTACTATTTTTAGTACTCTCTTCCATCAATACTATATTCATATTGAGATAAATACATAAAACTCAAATAAGTCTTATCTTAGCATGCTCATTTAGATATCAATATTATCATTTTGAAAGAAAAAGTTGATCTATCAATCAAATATTCTTCTCTACATTTTCTTTTGATGATTGGTCTTAATTAGACAATTCAAATCAAAGACTTTAATGTCGGACCTACTTTCATATATTTACAAAGAATCACTATACTTCTCAATGGATAAATTATTGTTGATTCATTTTTAATTTGCAAATGCAAAAAATAAAAGAATTTAGTGCTTAAAAAATATTGTTAAAAGAAACTTTAGAGAGACTCTTTTCTTTGAACAATTCAAAATGTGGAAGCAATCTTTGGAACATCAATCATGCTTTAAAAGCCAAAATAAAATATTGAAGAAAATTAAGGGCCCTTCTTGAAAATCAATAGTATGAAAAGATATTCTATAGAATATGAATCATACTTCCAACTCTATAATAAAAAAATAAAAATAAAAAACAATATTTCTTTCTTTGAAAATTAATAAAATGAAGAAGCAAATTGAAAAAGCTTTTAATTCTAAAACAAAACATGTAATAAAAGAAAATGCCTCTGTCAAAAATCAAAAGCATGTTAAGGTGAATTGAAGAAGCTTCTAGATCCAAGGCATTGATGGAAGATATATGCAAGGACTTATTATTGGAAAATGTTGTTACAAGGATACATACCAAAAACAAAGTCTTTTTGTCTAAAAGGCTCATGAAAAATGGAGGTGGTAATCATCTTAAAATAAAAACCTACGAAAATGTATACTTCTTACTACTTTATAATTGAAACATCTAAAAATATTAAATCTTAAAAAAAATCCTCAAAAATATTAAATATATACAATACATACTTTTAAAAGCTCTTTAGTAAATATTTAAATATTTTTAGATTGACATTCAAGATTGGTATTTTTGATCAATTTATATAATTTAATATGACAACAAATCTTTGATTGATGCAAAGAAGCATTAATGATCTTGCTTCTTGAGTCTTTTGTAATAATATAAAAAATAATTTAAAAGTCTCTACTAAAGACTATGGTAATTTAACCAATTATCTTTTTAGTGTCATATATATTTTTGAGGATTCTATAAATTTCCTTAGCACAATATTGATATTCATTGGTGCCTTATTCTAGATTATAAGCTCTATATTTCTTAAGACATTTATATATATTGCGTTCTTAGTAATATTAAAAATATTTTTTTTATAGAAATTGAGTGGAATTTTGAATACGAAGTGTGTAATTTTTCAACTACTTAAAAGTTATTCTCTAATTATAGATAAAATAATGCATAATGCAATCTTTTTTTTACTTTAAAACTTTATTGCTATTATATTGTAAACAAATATTTTGTCAATTTCTACCAATCTTTTTTAAAAAAAATATATCTTTTTAAGATTTTCATCTATCAAATAAAGTACATTAAAATATATAATGCATTACTCATCATTGAACTTTAGAAAATGACATTCTACTATTTTTTTAGCTCATCACAATTTTATACTATATGCTTTGTAAGTACTTTTATTTCAATTCCTTTTCTATTAAAATATTGGTAGAAAATCAACAAGTTTTTTGTTTGCTTTATAGGAAATTTCACCAAAAAGAAATAATTTATATTCTAATATTTATATTTCTATAAGACTCTCAATTCCATAATCTTAAGCCAATTGGTGATGTTCATTATTACAAAATTATTGTCTTAAGCTTTTCTAGATATGCAAGTATTTATTAAATTAGAATAACACCAAAATATGTTGTTAATTATTTTTATATTTTTATTAAAAAAACCTCTTTTAGAAATTGATTCTAATCTTTATTATCCTCTAATAGTCTCATTTTCAAACATGCTTTTTTAAAAGTTGAGTAGAGCATTTTATTTATAATTTTTAAATCTTCAAATAAAAGGATCTATATATAATCATCAAGATGAGCTAAATATAGAATATTTCTTTTGCAAAAAAACTAATAAAATATATTTTAATAAAATATAGTAATTATAAATCCATGTCATCTTATTTTCTACTTCTTTACAATCTTATACTATAAAACACAATGTAGAAAAGCTTAGTAGGTATAATATCAAGTAATATCTATAAATTTGCAAGTTTCAAATAATTTTGTTAAAGTTTTTTTTTTCCACTTTCTAGGACCAAAGACTTTAGTTGCATTGTCACTTAGATTAGAAAATATTTGATATATTTTGAGAAGACATAATGTCAATTGAACTATATTTTAAACTTCTTTATGCACTTTTGTTCCAA